GGGGGGGTCTTTTCAGCGGTCAGTTCATAATAACAAACCTCTTTTCACACTTCACAGGCTTCAATGCATGAAAGAAAGAGCAGTTGTTCAAGGCCACCTCTGAAGTAGCTGTCCCCCCGCCACAGTCTAATAATCATCTCTGATTATTTCTGCAAGAGTCAGCTGGGGATAAATGGGAAAATAACCCCCTGCACACCGAAAAGAAAAACAAAGAAACAAATCTAAAAAAGAAAAATCAGACTTATAAAACAAGTCTGTAAAATTAAACATTGTACTTTTATAACAACGGAATGTTAAGTTGTCGGGGGTAAGAGGACATCTCTGGGAAAAGAGCTCTCGCTTTTTCTACTATTAAAACAATTTTCAGTAATACAATGATTCAAAAATGCACATGCCTTAAAGAAAAGAAAAAAATATTGCACCAAATCCAAGTCGTTTTTCCTCTGACCAAAGGTGGTTAGGGACACATCTCCATATCTCTGTCCTGATTTCCTTGTTATGTTCAGTCATGTGAAGGAGAGCTACCTCTAGCGTGCATCTCTTGATCAGTGTACACTGTATATAGACTTAAGGCTGCTTCCCCTAGCTCACACTGGCACAGTTTCTGACAGAAGAGGGTTGCATCTTTGTGCTAACCACACACACACACACGCGCACGCACGCACGCACGCACCCCCCCCCCCCCACACACACACACACACACACACACACACACACACACACACACACACACACTTCTGCTCAAGCCAGATACAGAACAGACCAGAGAGTACATTCTTGAATAGTTCCTGACAATAACACACCTCAGTGTGTCGTCACAGCCTCACCTTAAGGGTCATTAAAGGTCAACGTTGCATTCTTTTTCTTTGCGTGATATGAAACACAGTAATGTTTCCCCAATGTCAGAACAGTACACACACATACGAACAGCATGAGCTTTGGTTGCTGCAGGATATGAGAGTAGCATTGAAAAGGGTTCTTTGATTGGATGATTGAGGGAAGTACAGGTGATCTAAGACTTGAGAGAGAGAGAGAGAGAGAGAAAGGGTGGAAGAAAGTCAAGACAAGCACTGAGGCTGAGGAGAAAAAAAAAAGATATTTGTCACATTTTAAAAACAGTGGCTCTTAAACCCAGTGCAATCGACGTTTTTTGGTTGCGAAAACACAGTTTGCAAGTGATTTTTGCAGCTTAGATGTCTACAGCATGAGGGTGGGTTTGATTACAGCTGTGCGGCCACTTCGCTGACGTGGTGCACTGGCCAACAGATAGAAGCAGGAAGGTAAGGCAAGGTGTGGGTCTAATGCTATTGAGTCCTGCAGTTTAAAAACAACGATACCTGTGGTTGGGCTCTCTGGACCATGATAAAGCAGCATCAGCTGGCCCAGAATGACGCTCAACACAACAACAACAAAAAAAGTCTCAAATGGAGCAGGGGAACTAAAAAGAAAACACAGCCAAGTTCAGTCTTGGTGCAAATTATGAGATTTGTGTTTGCACGTGTGTCCAAGTGTTACACATCCTTCGTTTCTGTCTTGACAGAAATAATCAGCCAGATAAAATAGAGTGATTTTACCTTCAGCAATGTGTGAGGGAAGAGGAAGGGCAGAATTCTCTCTCTCTCTCTCTCTCTCTCTCTCTCTCTCTCTCTCTCTCTCTCTCTCTCTCTCACACACACACACCCCCCTCAACAACAGTCATATCAATCCCCACCACTGCCACTCACATCCTCAGCTCTCAAGTCTGTGTATCTTATCGGCCCTTGTCCTGCTGCCTCTGTCCTCTCCTGTCACCTCTTGAGGGAGGTGGATTTCAGTTTCTGGTTGTATCTATGGATGCGTGGCGAACGGGAGTGCAGCTTGACAAAGAGCTCGGGGAATTTGTACTGAGGGAACATGGTCTCCAGGAAGCCCTCCAGGAAAACGTAGACTAGGCGACGGTTCATGGGTTGGTACTGAAACATGTCAAAGACGCGGAGGATGCCCTTCCTCGTGGTATCGGCTCCGATGATGTGCTTCAGCTCATCTGAGGAAGAAGGGGGAGGGAGACGTAGATATCAGCAGCGTGAACAAGTTTGGTTCTGTCAGAGGTTACTTCCTGTTAAAACTGTGTCTTTCCTTCCCACTGTCACCAAATGCTTGCTCAGGGGGAGTTTTCTGTTGTTTTTTATTGTTCTCTCTAACGCTTCAGCATCTTTACTTTTAAGGCGACAGGTATTTGGCGCTTAATAATTAAAACTGAATGAAATTGATTTTTTTGTATGAGTTTACAGCACTGCAAAGAATTCCACCTTTCCTTTGGTTCGCATTAATATTACTGGAATTTTTAGTCTGACAGCAGAAACAAAGTAAAGATATGGCACTAAAGAAAAGTGAGCATGAGTCATACAGATGTCCTCACTGCACCTCATTAGGGCTTGGCTACCTTCACATAGACACCTGATAATACAGCCTCTCAATTCTTGTATTTTCTGTGTACAAATATATTTCTAGCTCTGTGCTTTATCAGAGGTGCAAACCATCAAGGAAAGTGTGTAACTGGCAAAAATGGTCTAGTTTGATGTCACCCTTTCAGTTTTCCAATATGCTTTCTCTGCCTCATTCTAGTGCGCTGACTCATAATTAGCTTATTGAACAAATGATGGTTAAACAGCATTTATACCGCCTGGACACAAGAGGGGGGCAGTGAGTTCATTTCAGTCATTTCTTAAAAGCAGACTTGGACAAATCATACAGAGGTCAGTCTCTGGGTGGTTCTCACTAACTTACTCCAGATTCTCACACTCCTAAACTAGAATACTATTGTGCTGTACTTCAATCGTTTCTTCACACATACAAGATATCGTCTTACATCGAAATTGTTTGTCATAGTTTGGAGTGGTAGTACACAGAAGAGCAGTGGATTAAACCCCTTTATTAAAAGGCTGTTGGTGACACCCAGAAAGACGTCACAGATTCCTCCCTCCTCACAGCTTTTACTTCCATATTCAGTGGGACGAGCAGGGACTGAGAACTGCTTTTCATTTTAAGTATGAATGCTTCAAAGATAATGAGTAAGTAGATGTGGTTGTCTCTATTTATGGCTAGGTGCTAGCTTTATAAAGTGTGAGTGTGTGTGTGTTTTCACCTGGCATGATTCCCAGAAGGCTGGTTTTGGCAGCTACTCGTGTCCTCATGCGGATGTTCTTGTCCCGGCGGGGCGGGGTCTCAGCTAGAATACCATTGGGCCAGTAGGAATCCCTGTTCGGAGGCGGAGCACTAAAAGTTATACAGTACTCCTCTGACTAATCAGAGGTCTTTAAAACAAAAGGCGATGAGTTACCTGAACCTCTTGACGTAATCTGCCACCTGCTCTGGTGACGTCAGGTAGTCCACATGATCTACGATTTTCCTACAGAAAGAAGCAAACTTTAAATATTTCAAACTACTATTTGTATAAGTGATAACATTTTCCCACCTTTAACTGTGTGTCAGTCTTTTTTGCGGGTTTAATGTGACACTCACCTGTTGATTGTGTCCCCATATGTGGCCCTGATGAGTTGCTGCAGAAGGTTCTTAATATTCCTGCGCAGCCACTGGTTCTTCTCTTTGAGATCAAACACCTCGTCCATCAGCAGCAGCATTACCCGGAGTGGGATATTATCATCCACCTGGAAGCAGTTTAATTTAAAGCACGGTTAAAGGAATGAAACAGCAGCACACTGACTCACATCAGAGACTTTTGCAGAGACATGTCAACGCAAAGAATGCTGAATTAAAATCTACAGGGTTATTCCTAACAGCAAAGATAATGGCAGAAGGATAAAAGCTTTTCAAATCCTCATTTTAGTGGGAACTTTTTAAGCAGTTTCTCATCACATTTAACTGATGAGCCGATGTTTGTACTCTGAGGCATTTCAAGAAAACTTTGGAAGGACTTTGCTCACATTGTCATCGAGCTGAGCAGAGACTCGACAGTGCTCAGGGTCGATTTCAGACTTGGGGAGGATTGGAGGCACCTGGGAAAATCAGAGGTTAGATTAACGACTACAGAGGATCAAGCGAAGCCCGTGCTTCACGACGTTAACTCAAAACACTTGCAGTATTAAACGGTTCTACCTTCAGTATGGATTGTTTGATATCCTGACCCAGTTTTTCTGACATGCGGCCCATGTTATCGGAGACTTTGGTCACTCCCTCTGCTAAACTGTCTGGGAAGGCTTTTACTGCATTGGACACGTTTCTCATGGAGCTCCGCAGAGGGTTCACAAATGTGTCTATCTGATGGGGGAATAAAACAAAAGCAGAAAATGTACTTTATAGACAAAATGCCAGTCACATGGTGAATAAACAGCTGATCAGTAATGAATGATTCTCCAACATACTAAAACGTTCTAACACAATATCTACATATAACATCTACTATAATATATGTAGTAATTAAAATAAAAAACAAAAAAAAAACTGCACAACAGTTAAACAGGTATTTGCATTTGAGAAAAGGAAATACCTTCCGTGCAAACTCTCCTTTGCCCTTGCTATAGGCCTTGTTCTCTAGGAAGTCATACACGTAAGGGATCAGAGTTGGGCAGGCCTTCACCATCTCTGGGTTCAGCAGCAACTGCAACAAATGCGCACCAAGAACTATTAATGGAAGGAAAAATGCATGACAATAAAAAAGAATAACATATATAAACTATCACATAACAACATTACCTGTAGGTAAGCATTGAGGTCTTTTTTTCTCTTCTCCAAGAAGTCTCTGTCCATGTTATTGAAGGTCTTCTTTCCTGGCAGCTTGAGGATTGATGCCAGGTTCTCAAACTAAAGCAGAGCAAGATTACAAACTGAGACTCAGAAGAAGAAAATGCAGCTGATGACTTTCCCTTATTTTCTGTCACGTTTACATTTATCGTAACAATGTTGGATGCCAGGCCAAAGTTTCTATGATAGAAATAATGAGGTCAGTGTGTCTATAAGTAATTCCAGTGAGTCTGACGTTTAGGCTCACAAACTTGCCTCCAACATTTTTTTTTCTCTTGTGCCGTCAATATGGCGATACGGTCACGTCAGCCACCAGGCACCACCGGCCTTTGTTTTTTTACTTTAAATCGTGTAAAAGTGGTGTAATCGAGTTAAGTCTCACACACACCTGTTCAGTGATTCTCATATGGAAGTCATGGAAGTCTGAGTAGCGGCGGTAGGTCTTCCAGGCATCCTCACTGCCATCTTGGTTGCGTCTAACCACAGTGATGGTGTACAGTGCGTAGGTCTTACCGTGGTCATTGCACACCCCTGCAGCACCCCAGAAGCCAGGGAGACAAGCATCAGCTACCCGATCCGGTAATACATCCAACATAGGGAATTGGAAAATGGGGGATGGGTTGAAAAGAGCAGCGGAAAGACAGGAAGTGGGCAAAAGGGAAGTGTTGCAGGTGTAATATAGGGCAGTAAAAGAGCAAGCAGAGGGGAAAAGTGTGTATGAATGGGATAAAAGGGAGGAAAAGTGTAACAGAATGGCAGGAAAGGTGAGGGAGGGAGGGAGGAGGGGAAAAAGGAAAAACAGAAAAGTAGTGAAGGTAATGGAGTGATAGAAATAAAGAATACTGGAACAATGTGGCACGAAACAGCAGGCACATGCAGATGAAACGAGCTTAGAGGTGAAATGCTGATAGAAAACATGCAGGGAAGGACTAAAAGGAAGTAACAGATACCCAATATCCAAAAGAAAAATCACACACACACACACAATTCAACATGTTAGAAAAATATAAAACTAAACCACTCGGTTGGCGTACCTGTGTCAGAGATGAAGGCATGAAGGTGCATAGATTCATCATGGCAGGAATTGGGCAAGTCATCCAAAGACTGAAATCACAGGAAACAAATCATCATAAACTAATAATAATAAACAGCACAGACAGATAACCCATAAATATTAAATGAAAAGGACTCACTAGGTTTATGCTTCCTGTTGGAGAACCATTAAAGGACTCTCCATCACCATCGTCAGACCCTCGGTAGCTTGGCTCTTTCAACATGTCCAGCTCTGCAAGCATGCGGACATAGAGAGGGCTCTGCTTGAAGGACGGGTAATACCGCTCATCGCGTAGCATCATGTCATACACCTGTTGTAAAGTACAAGCAGTAGTATTTGTTAGACTGGGGGGGAAAATGCAGCGCAAGCAGGAAAAAAAACAAAAACAAAGGGAGGGGGGAACCTTTCTCTGGATTTCATCAAATATCTCTGGCGTGGGGTCGTCTTTCCGTAGCTTCTCCCCAAGCCTTGTTAGTGATGCCTCGTCCACCTGCACCCTGGGGGACGCCTGTTAGAGCAAAGAGGTTAACTTTTCACATTTCTAACTACAGAAATGAAAGACAGCTCTTTAAATTTATCTATAAATAAACGTCCCTGTTTCTAAAAGAGAAGTTCAGACACTGTGTAAAATATAGCTGAAATGAGTCTGGCTTAAAATATCGGAGGCGGCTGTGGATGCATGACATTTTCAGCTACCTTGTCAGAGAGGTATTGTTCATAGACACCCAGTGCAGCTGCCTTCAGCAGCCCTTTAGTGTCACTAGGCTGCTTCTTGCCGTCCTTCTGCCAGCTCTGCATGGCCTCCAGCTGCTGCTGCGCCGTCACCCTGTATCCCTCCACTGTGAGCCAGAAGAACAGCTCGGCCTGGGCCCCCGCTGCCTGCATGAAGTCTGGGTCAACACACAGACAGCATTTAGTCTCCTAAATCATATGATGCATATGATATACTCACAGGTGTCTGCTTATGATTAAGACTCTGGCTACACATACATACACGGCAATCACGGCCAGTAAATTTTATACTCAGTATTTTTGGCAGCCTCTGGTTTCTGGCAGCCTCGTTTCTAAAGATCAAGTTATGATATCAAACTTCTACTTGTTTAGTTTTGAGTTTTGCTTTGATCTATGTACAAAAATGTTACACGGCATTTGAAAACCAAGCTATAGCACAAAATGTCTTTCCCTCAAAATTTCTAGATTACTCACAGCTGAGTGTTTGCTGATTGAGCATTTGGGGCAAAAAAGGCGAGTGATTTATTGACAGTTTATGGATCGGACGCTGATCAATTGTCAGACAGTTCTAAGATATTTGGAGACGGTGAAGTTATGATATTGGAGATATTGGAGAGTCCAACTGTTTAGAATTGCAGCATTGCTTGGCTGTTTTTGTGCACAGGTGGGATTTTCATTCTGACTTTTCCTATGCTGTGTCACAAATTAAAACATTTTAGGCAGCGTAAACGTTAGCATGCTTTTGTTTTTGTTTCTTGGTGCAGCCAAGATCTCAGCTGAAGTCTAGAGTAGGGATGGGTATCATTTAGGTTTTATCCGATACCGGTGCCAAACCGCTACTTTTGAAACGGTGCCGGTGCGTAAACCGGTGCTCGAACCGGTGCTTAAAGAATGGAGAACACAAACTTTGTCCAAAAACCTCTCATGTTTAACTGTTTTCCACTTTTTCTTTGGTCATTTTAGCCTTTTTTGCCAGGGTGAAGGGAGCATCTGCCATCAAACAGGAAGACAGCCGCATGTAACTACGACGGTGTTTGCTAGTTCACCTTACGTGCATTAATGTAATAACTTGGTTAGCCTACTCAACGTAAATTACACACGAACAACATTAAGCTACTCACGCAGAGAAGAACGGCTGCTGCTGCCATCATCATTTCTGTTACACTGGCAGGGCTAGGGGCCAGGACTCTCCTCTTCGGGTTTTTGGGGGATGTTGCTAACTCCAGGTCCGATAACAGGCACCACACCCGCACTCGGTGTGAGGTCTTGCAGCAAGCTATCAAATACGGTGCATTTCTCGGCTTTTAAAAAAACGCTATGCGTCGCCAGGTGTTTCATCAGATTCCAGGTGATACTGTGCAAAGGAGGTAACATCTTAAAGCACTTGTTGCAGGCTGCTGAGTTTGCATCTTTTGCTGTGAAGTACAGCCAGACTTTTGACCGCTTCGCTTTGGGCATTTTTAATCTGTAGCTCTGCTCTAAAGGAACGTACGTACCTGGGCCCGCCTACTATCCTTGGAAAGGTAAAATGATTGGCTAGAATCCAAAGTGTATGACATCTCAGGAAAAAAAAAAGCACCGAAATAAAGCACTGAAATGTGCGCTGCTTTTCGGTCTGGTTACTACCGTTTATGTCAGAACCGAGGTGACCGTGCATTTGCCTTGGCTGCACCCGATTTGTGGAATAACCTTCCTATTGCCATCCGCGCATCCGATTCTATCCAATCATTGAAATCATGGTTAAAAACCTTTTTATTTAACCTTGCCTTTCCTGCTCGTTAATGCCTATATCTGATTCCTACACTTACTCTATTTTCCCTTTTATACATATCTTTTATGGCTTTGTGCTTTTAACATGTTTTTACTTGATATGCATTTTATGCTATTCTTGTGTGTTAGTGACATTGACCTGTTAGCACATTTGGTACTTTGTTATGGTCTTATAGTATTTATGTTTTATTTTCTTTTATGTGAAGCACTTTGGTATATCGTTGGTTTTTAAATGTGCTCTATAAATAAAGTTGTATTGTATTGTATTGTTTTTGTCATTATGTTTAGGCTAATAGTAATTCTCCAACCTTTAAAGATTCTCACACCGACATAAGCGACAGCAAAAGTGCATGTCTAAAAAAAAAACAGAGGCTGGAGTCCTACACTAAAGCCCTAACATTCATGTGTTAGGGCTTTAAAAAACATATGATTAACAGAAAAGTTCAGAGTTATAACTACAGTGACCTTTGGCGTCTATGTGATACGTGAGGTGTTGATGCACTTACCCATGAAGAACTGCAGGGCTATGTTGTGGACGAGGATGTGATCCAGCGGGATGACACACAGCTTTCCAAAGTTGGCTGCCAGCTTAAAGGCATCAACCTCCTACACAACACAGGAACCGAATAAGTAAAGCAGAAGAGAGCAAAGCATTAACATAACCAACACGGACTTTGAGCAAAACCAGCTGACAGCTGTGCAGACAAGGCTGTGCGATGCATGTTTACTCCCCTGCAGTTTCTCACCTTGCCAGACTGCAGTCTCTGGATCCTGGTCTCACACACCTTCTTCACAAACAGAAGACTGTTGATCTGGTTCTTGATCACGTTGATGTCTGAAGGACAGAGAAACAAAAAGCCATCAGGGCAGAAGAGGAAAGCAGTGTGCTGTTTCAATTAACATTCTGTAGTTACTGAATGAAAACAATCAGTTTTGAGTGTGTGTGTCTGATGCAAATGGAAAGAAAAAAGCGAGCGCCCACCGTCTCCAGCAGTGTCCAGGGAGCGGAGAAACTGCAGCTCCTCCAGCACCTTGTCTCTAACGGCCTCCAGCTCAGCAGGCTTATCTGTTAACTTCAGGATGTTCATGAAGGCTTCATAGTTACAGCTGTTATCCCGGATCTACACATAAAACAGGACATACAGCTACAAACACCAGCACCAAATCTCATTTGGTCTCCCAACCCTTAAATTAAACTGTTTCTTGGACAGTTTGGGGTGGTGTTAAACCTCACCATCCATATGACAAACTGGTTGATGTAGTCTGGGTCACTCAGCTGGTTGATCAAAGGAAGCAGCACACCACGCGCTAGCACCTCCTAAAAAACACACCACAGTGTATTTCCAGGCATGCTCGCTGTAATTTACACTACAAACATGTCACTGCACAGCACATTCAGGGGGATGCCGTGGCGGCCTGGCAACCAACATGGCAGCATGTGGCATGTGGCTTTTTTGTGATGAATACACAAACACTGGTTAATGGCATACATATGCATTTTTTATCTCTTATTTGCACCTCACACTAGTTTTTTTTCATGCACTCACCCTTAGGAAGTATCTCATATTCTTATTGTGGAAGTCTCCAGGAGGTAGTAACAGGTACAGAAGCAATTCACACAAGTCCCGAAGAAACCCTGACACACACATGCAGAACAGGGTTACAAGCTAGAACAAAAAAGTTCCTCATAACTGTGAAATGTAAGGCCAGAAACAGAGGCGTGTTTACCTTCTTCATCTTTGTGTGAGGTGCACACAACATCTCGACAAATCTTCCTTTCCATCTCCACCTCAGCCTCAAAGAAAGACTCCATCAGATCATCTGTTATGTCCCCTGTTCAGAAATCACTATTTAGTTACAGTCGTCACTATTCTTAAAAACAGCTCTCAAGACATGGCAAACACGTTAATAACTGCAGGGAGTGTGATGTATGCACGTACTTAGTTTGTCTTCTCTGTCACCGAGGCGATCCTGGGCTTTTCTGAAAACACGTAAATGTGTGGCAAAGTCGTCCACCAGGCGAGTGGTGAAGTAAGGCTGCCAGTCCACCTCTTTGGACCTTTGCATACAAATATACACAAAATATAGATTGCTTGATTTTTTGCTAAATATATTAGACATATAATGCGTGTGTGTGTGTGTGTGTGTGTGTGTGTGTGTGTGTGTGTGTGGGGTACCGTGTGGAGAACTGGACAAGGGCATTTTGCAGCGTCTGTCTGATCTCTAGTAAGAAGGACTCATCTTCACTCAGGGTGTAGTACCAGTATTGGATGTAGTCTCTCAGTGCAAACTGGATCACCTAAAGAGACATAAGGCAAAGTGAGGAGTTAGGCAAAATTCTGTAAAGACAATTCAGACTGAGTGAAGTGAGAACTAGAGAGAGGGATCTGACTGAATTGTCAACACAAACCTGGATAACCCTCTGATTCATCGAACAAACATGGAAGTAGATAAGAACAGTGATTAAAAGTCAAAATGCCAAGGTGACCATTTTAATCACATTTTCTGAAATAATCTCCACTGATAAACTGCCGGTAAGCAGAAATCTCACGACAGCTCAATTACACAGGAGCTGAGTAAACAGGAAGCAGAGGGCTGGCTCTTTGTGCAAAACATTACAGAGACACAACATTAATGGAAGACTGAAGACTTCTTTGTTTAATTCAACAATGAGATGAAAGTGTTACTGTAAGTATAGGGCTCGGGATTATACTCTCTTAAGGATGCACAGATGGGAGTACATGGATACAGATACAGTTTTATTCACCCTTTGATGACAATATCTATGCCACTTGAACTCAAACAGACCACATTACCCCCTCAGTTGGTAGAAAACAGGGCTTTGGTGGTATAAAAGAGATTGGGAGAGACTGCAATGTGAATAACCGTATATATTGCTACAGTAAAGGGAACAAGCAGTCATGTGCAAAAGGTAATTTTCACAGCTGCCAAAAACTAAGTACAACTTTACTGCTTTCATAGCTATTGAGGGTCAGTAACACCCAGGTGCTGCTAATCAAGTGCCATGTGAGGCAACAAGGCTTAGGCTTGCAAAGTTGCATCTGAACAAACCACAAGACTTCTGGAACAATGTGCTTTGAACAGCCCAGACCAAAGTGGAGACATTTGGCCCCGAAAACCAAATACAGCAAATCAGCACAAACACTTCATACCAACAGTCAGCACAGTGGTGGAGGGGTGATGATATTGGCTTGTTTTGCAGCCACTAAGTCGACCGTGAACTCCTCTGCATGCCCAAGTATTCTGGTTAAAGGTGTCATCTGTCCAACAACTAAGCCACTTAAGCCTGGATCAAACTGGGTCATGCAACAGGACAGAAAGTCAGAGAAAGTCCAAACCTCAACCTGACCGATAAGATCAAACACTAAAATTCCTTGATGACACGATTGTCTGCGAAATCATTTCCAAAAAAAAAAAAAAAAAAAAAAAAGGACACCAATTCTGCAATAAAACACAAACCAGGACTTTTCTAACTAAAACTACACCAGCAATGTTTCTGACTGGAGCCGTGGATGCCAAGTATAAACCACGTAAAAAGTTACAGGTTTTAAAATGAAAGGGTGTGGAAGTCCCATCAGCTCAAGCTACAATATGAATCAGTGCAATACAGGATGAGAGGGAGCTGTGACTAATGAAAAAAAGTGCTTATGTGAGCACATACGAGAGGGAAAAAAATGCCCAGACAATGTGTCAGAAAATAGTGACCACACATTTATTTCAGGGTGCAAGATGCAGCATTGTGCGACTTTACATTTCTCTGTGCAAGATCTCAAGGTTCACATGGAACTGAAAAGATAAATGAGAATTCCTAGAAACGGGCGAGGGGAGAGGAGAGATGCCATGCTAGAGCCGTTAGCGTCATCTGACCGGCACTAACTGCTGTGTCTGCACTTAACTCTGCCGGCCACACCGCTTTGCTGAGGACGTGCTAAAAAGTTTTCTGCTGCAAGTGTGGTAATCACAGAGCGGCATGGAAAGAGAAACTGACTAATAAACACAAGCCACAAAGTCGTTCTTTCCATTCTGCAATGCTTGCATAGGAACCATCAGTTAGACGATCAACTTGCAAATGTGTCAAGATGAGTTAAAAAAAAAAAAAAAAAAAGCAGTACAAACACTGTTGCATCACATGTCTCACATGTCACAGTCTGCAATGTCCACAGTTTACAAAGGACAAATTACACAAAGAGCTTTGGTGTAATCGTACAGAGTTTCCAATGATGTCAGACTAGTTGTCTAATAAAACCATAAAAAGAATCTCACTGTGAAAAAGTTGCTGTGTGACAGATGTAAGGATTTTTATATAAAAACTGGGGAAATAAAGACAAAACATTGCAAGCTGTGCCAGAAAATAAACATTTAACAACACCGGAGGAGCTTCATTCTGCTTAATGTGAAGAATGCCGCTGGAAGCATGTACCACCAACATGGTTTCTATTACAAAGCACGACACTGGTACACAAAATAATTTAATTAAGTCATTTTATAATTGAATCATGTCACATTTTCCTGCTTTTGGCATGTTGGAAAAATGAATTTTGCTCTGACAAAACAATACATCACAAGAAAGACACAGAGCTCACAGAAGAAAACACCTGAAATGCAGACGTTACTGGGTCATGCAGTGTTTGACAGCCAGTACTTCTCTCTGATGCCATTAAGTCACTGACCTGGGCCAGCTGAGCTGATGGGTCAGACAGAGATTTAAAGGAGCCGGAATCCAAAAAGTCTGGAGTATTAGCATTTGTCAGGCAGGGACCTTCTCTAAGCTTCTCCCTGTAGCTGCTGTCCCATTATCACAAGTGCACTGCCTACTCTTAGCTGGGTGGGCAGTGATTAAACCTCTCTTAAACCCACATTAGCTAAAACTTTTTATTGTAAATGTCTGAATGTTAAACAAGTAAAAAAAAAAAGTGTTCCACATCAATTCTTTCAGTTTCCTGTAACTGCCTTTGGGCTAATTTGTATGTAATTCCTTATAATGATTTTTGACACTTAGTCTCACTCAGGTAATAATAGGCCCTTTTTTTAGTGGGCTGGAGATATTAATGTAATGAGCTGAGCCAAAAATGTGACATCAACAGACTGAATGGAGTGGCGTCACTGCATGAATCATGACTCCTTCACAAGAATCAAACCTGGCACTGAGGAATATGGACATGCATGCCGCCTCCTTGGCTCTCTAATTTTAGGAAGTCTGACAAAAAGCCATACACCGAGCAGCAAGTATAACATCTTCATGTGTTCCGTTTTTGTGTAATTATCAAATGTTTGGGCCACCTTGCTGTAACAACTCTACCTACATTGAGGTGGTACTCAAATTTAATAGAAAATAACCAAAACTGAGTAGAGCAAAGTCCAGCAGTGTTGAGTAGATGCTAGCGGAAAAGAAGCTTTAATGATCATGAGTGTCATTTTCTGAAGTTAGACCCAGCTCCTTTAAAGGCAGTGCTATCAAGGCATTACAAGTAATATAAAATTTTGAATTTAGAAAATAATACTTATCAAAACTCAACCAATTTCTTGCAAATTATTAGCTAATCATCTTATAAAATGTAAACATGCACTTGCTGTGGTAGTGACATGATGAAAGGGGCAAGGTGTGCTTATAAAGAAATGAATACAATTAGTACTGACACAGAGCTTTGGTCATGTGTTGTATGCCATACGATAAAACTGGTCATCTATGCTTCCCTACCTATGAAACACATGCACAGGGAATCACAAGACCTATCACAAAGACAGGCACATAAACACACACCTGCTGTAGTGGTTCATCTATGAAACTCGAGCCTGTGAGTCTTCTGTCAATTTTTATAGGCTTCATCTCCAGCTTCATCTCATCCAACGTCTGAAAGAGACAAAACATAACCCACAGTGAGACAGGAGTAAAGTAATCAGAGAAAACTTTGGTGACCTCCGTCAGGCAGTCCATCTGGCAGGCCGGGTCATCTGTTTGTGCAGGCGAGGTCGAAGTGCGTGTATTTTACCTTCAGTATACCAATTTGTGTGGGTGGTAAGTACGAGTGCTCGCACTTTTCCAGGTGTTTCTCCGAGTTAATCTTTCCATAAAGCAAAGTGACCGCAAAGCCCCTGCAAAACAGAAGTGTAATTTAGAAATCAGCAAAAAACTTATGAGCCAAGCTCCTGATGTGTTGTGGTTAACTGTGAAGCTTAAAGAGGTTAGATTGGCTTCAAACGTCTCACTGCTCACCCTCCAATGAAGCAGAAGATATAAAAGGCCAGGTAGAATATGGCAAAGGGTCCAAAAGTGACGAGGAACAGCACAACTCCAAGACCCCCCCATCCCCAGATGGACAGACTGGCCTGAAACACACAAGACAAAAAAAACACATACTCAATACACAATTCAATTCACCCCATACTCAGCTAGACGGATGATAATATTCTATAAACACATATCATGACCATTAATGGTCCTCCACAGAGCAGAGGGGAGGGAGATGTCTGCGCAGGAAGACATTACATAAAAGAGTGTCAGACAGAAACTGTGTGTGTGTATAATCCTGTACAATCACATCCTATGGTGTTCCTGTTGTTGTCAGTACAGGAAACAGAGCTCGTTTCAACCCTTTTCCAGCTCCAACTTTAGCCCATAGTTACTTGAGTATCTCCTTTTTTAGCCTTATCATATTAACAGGTACAGAAGAAGCTTTTTAAAAAACAAAACAAATGAAAACACAAGCTATACTGATAAGTTATGTCCCCTAAGTGTATGCTTAAGGTCATGATAGCAGGTATGAAACCTCAGGAGGGGTCTGCTGCACATATTAAACCAGGCCGCGGCACCTTAGAAAATAGCTGTGAATGTGTTGTTATGAGTTACAGCTGCTTATACAAGGATCCTTAAATGTTCAAGGAAAAAAGAAGCCTTCAAAAATGTTCTCACCGTGAAGCCATCATATAGAGTCACTGACAGGCATCATGATCAGTGGTGATGATCTTCGGCTGCCTTACATTCATGTTAGAGTTCCTTAGATAAACAAATCCTGTGACGGAGCCAGAGAGGAGCACACAGAGCTTCCTTTGGACACTGAGACATTGTTCTCACTGTTACAGTCGACTGCCACCAGTCGGATGACACACATTAGACTAGCTGCCAACAGTGTCACATCCATAAACAGAGGCCAGTCAGTTTACTGTGTAGATACAGAGCTAGACTAATTAGTAGGGCTGTTCGATATAACGATATATATGGGATGACGATATAAAAACATCTATCGTTTCATTTTATGCTATCGTTTGTTTCGTGGTGTCGCAAAATAAACTGTTTACGGCAATGTTTTTCATCGTTTTGATTGTCACTGTAGTGGCTATATTAATTTCTTAAAGTTCTCTCTTTCGCTCATATTTCATGTAACCACACTACGGACAGACAAGCGCCTGTTTTTATGTGTTGTCGTTAGCAACAACGACGGTAAAACCATCGCGTGTCTGCTTGTTTATGTTCCACATAAACCTTTCACAATAAAGCTCAAGATCTTGATGAGACTTTTCAAAATAAACTGAATCACGTGAAAGAGAAGATTATGTACGGATGAGAAGCAAAAAAGAGCCGTCAGGTGCTGAAAAATAAACCTTAGATTCAAACGTTAGAACAGGCTTTTACGCTGTGTAATAAATACTCACAAAGAAAACGGCAGCCGTTACAACTTATGTCTAAAAATGCATCCTTTAATGCATCGGTTAAAACACTCGACTCCAGGTACACGACGCCCAGCTGGAAACACTTCACGCAAGACGAGCTGCCCGAGATTCACAGAATTTACAAAAAATGTTAAAACTTTGTGATTTATATTGTTATCGGACGACAGATGTCTTATATCGGGATATGAGTTTTGGTCATATCACACAGCCCTACTAATTAGTGCCAAATACTATTAAGGCATATGGACAAATGAAAAGAATAATGAAGAGTAATCTGTGGCTCCACAGACATGCAAATGCACAGTTTTCTTGCTTAACGCTAAAAGATAACTTAGCTATCCAAACATCCATCTTCTTCAGTTCATCCAAGGCCTGGTTGTGGGGGCAGCAGTCCAAGCACAGAAGCCTAGACCTTCAGTTTATCTGGGGGAACACCAAAGTGCTCGGGGGCCACCCGAGAGACATAATCTCTCCAGCGTGTTCTAGGTCTGCCCCAGGGCCTCAGACTTGGAGGTGCCGATTCTCATTCCCGGTGCTTCACACTCAGCTGTAAACTGCTCCAGTGCGAGCTGGAGGCCACCACTTGATAAAGCCAACAGAATCACATCACTTACGAAAAGCAGAGACGAGATTCTGAGACCACCCAAGTGGAAATCCTCCGCCACTTGACTACGCCATAACAACTATGAACAGAATCGGTGATCTAGATAAATGATGATAAAAGAGGAGTGAACATGTTTGAATTAATGAACCTCAATTTACAGTACTGGCTTAAATGTACACTCTACACTGTAGCCTGATGTGAAAAGTACACATATGAAAGCTATGTTAGGTCTTTCAATAATATCCAGTTACACATTTTGTTACCATTATAATTTAGGAGTAAAAATATACTATATCTATGATAAATGGACTGGTTCTTATACTACACTATTCTACTCATAATAGCACTTTACTAATTGACTCATTTACCAATTCACACAATCACTTTTTTCTATGCTCTTTCTATGTAAGCGCTTTCATTCACGCACATTCATTCTCTGACAGACACATTGGAGAGCAACTTGGGGTTAGTATCTTGCCCAAGCATATTGTGCCATGCAAACAAATGCAGGCTGCATGAACACCAACCTTCCGATTAGCAGAAGACCTGCTCTACCACCTGAGCTACAGCCACCGCCCATGAAGACCGTGAGGCACCAATCTGTTTATTAACTTAATTAGCACTGGTGTCACCGGTTTTATGCATTTCAGTTTTAAAACAACGACAACAAAACAAACCGCACAATATTCATTACGTCTGTGACAATTGTAATAGCAGAAGAATACACAAACACCAGCACATTGCCCACTGCAATATTGGCTCGATGGAGGAGTTCAAGACTATAAATCAAGCTTCAAGCTACTGTGGAGGAGCTGCTGTGATGCATTGACAGATTATGACGTTAAGGACCAACAATGGTCAGAGCTATAGGCAATAGAGAGGTATTTTTTCCCCACTGATGCATTACTCAATATCATTCATAATAAATTTAATCTGTCTCGCTATAGTTTGATGTCGCACATGCAGCCCCAGAGCACACAGGTAAGTGCACACACATTATTGCACGGTGTACTTACGAGGTAATTAGAGGAAACAGGAGGATATTTCAAACTTCAGCCTGACATTTTTGTTTGTATGGCAGAACTCTAATTAAAAATAAATTAATAAATTAAATTAATAAATTAAAAAGAAAAAGGAAAGAGCCAGTGAATTTTATGACATCAGCGATGTCATAAAAACCTGCTATGATGTACGGCTTGGAGATGGCTGCACTGAAAAAAAAGACAGGAGACCGAACTGCAGGTGGCAGAGTTGAACATGCTAAACTTTTATACAGAGCTGCCAAGCGGGAGGAAAAGAAGAAGATTCCTGCATGCAGTAAAGGAGGACATGCAAAGGTTTGGTGTGACTAAAAAGGATGCTGAGGATAGGGTGAGATGGAAGCAGATTATCTGCTGTGGTGTCCCCACAGGGACAGGCCTGAAGAAGAAGAAGAAAGGGACAGGTATCCTAACATCTGAGTCATGATAGGTTTAAAGACAACTGTGAAGCTTCTTTTCATTCAAAGCAAAGTTCCTAGATGCAGGAATGCTCAGTGAGGAGTACAATGTACAACTCTCTTTTTTGTCTACTACAGAGCCCAATATGTTTATGAATGTTTTTCATGTTAAAAAAATGTGAAATATGTACATTTTAGAATGCAATACCCACTTACTTCATACAATATCTCTGAATTTATAGATTATGAATTTAAGTACTCTAATACTGGTTGCTATTGTTCAGATGGGTTTGCTTGCTGACTTGACCTTGTCAGCATGAACGTCTTTATTAAAACTGGCCATAATTGTTTGTCCTGGTCCAGAACTGGAGCAGATAAAACTAGAACAAACACAGCCTCTCGGTTGGATCAGGTTTGAAAAAGCTGATAACGGGCAATTTGAAACAATAACTTCACTAGTACTGGTTCAGATCTTAAAGCAAAGCATTTTTAAAGTCTTACTCTGAAGCACTTTGGACCGCATATGCGCACGAATAGTGTTACATAAGTAAATCTGACTTGAGGTGAACTTGTGACGTCTCTCCTCACCACATCAGCTGAGGCTAGTTTCACAGTAAATAGGATAAATTAAAACCTGAGGCTGATGGCTGTCACTGAGGACCTTCTGACCCTGATGTTGCTTACTCATCAGAGTCAACTAGACAGGCACTGACAGTGTGCAGGCCAAGACATATGGGTCACATTAACAGAACAGCAGGATCTTTGAGAGTGCCTTGGAATAAATGCTGCATACCTGCCTGTCACTTTGTTTACAAATGTGGTTATGGGAGAGGCAGGAAGTATTAGAGGACATTTATATGCAGTGTAATAACCCTGTTGGGTACATGCAGTTCTCCACCCTATATTTCACCCTGTCTTGTACCAAGGGTGACATAATTTCACTATCTCGGTTGCATAAGACATTGCAGTTTTTCTTATTGTTGAAACACCTTAACTGACTACACAAACACAGGAAGGACAATTTCCAACCTTTTCCTCAATTTCTTGCCTCTATTATAAAAAGCACAATTTTGATCTATATGGATGTAAAGAAATCAACTACTGCGAACATTGACTATAATAAAATGTCTCAAACTTATATGAATAAACTGAAGTCCAGGCTGCAGAATGTGTTCAAACTGGTTAGACTAGCCCTCTTCCTTAAGTCATAAAGGGCGAGAACAAAGTCACTGATTGCAGGGTTGGGAGGAGAAATAGGGCTGGCCAGTAGAGAGAACCATTATTACAATTTAACTAGGAGTGTGGCAACACAGAGGAATGCTTTTCAGAAAGGTTGCCACAAAATGTGACCATCAAAAACAGATCCACGTGTCCTGATATCTAACACAACCAAGAGAACTATAACATATCAGCCAGAATCCTTTTATCATTTAAAGGAGATCCAAATTAAACCGCCGTGCAAACAAAGAAACAGTCTGAACTATTGTTCAATTTCCTCCCACACTTACATCACAGGGAACCAAGCAGGTACATTTTCAGGAGAGTTTGAAAACTTTTTGCCAAACCAACAAAGTCATATTTACTACCATAATCTACATCCTCAGCCTGATGGTAGTAAAGAACAATTATAATACATCACCATCACACACGCTAACAGTGTGATGGTGTAGTAGTAACTTATGGATTTTGTTAAAGATTTTTGCTAAATAAGATCCGGGTCCAAAGTTAGCAAAGCTAATGCTTGTGACTAACATCTGAATAAAGGCAGAGTGCAACTAAATTTAGCCCACGGTGGAGGGGCAACCAACTTTCCACTGACTTTGTATTTGGTGAAGGGGCCTCCCTATCAAGTGGCTTCACTAAACTACAGCAGCTTGTCAACACGGAGCCAACATCAGACGTAACTGAAGCCAGCTAGAAGCATTTCATTTGCATTTCAGCTCCTAGATACGTATAATATTTATTTGTGTTTTCCTTCCAGCTGGTGCAGAGTGTAATGTGTTGTGCTTTGTCTATACTAAAATAGGACCAAAACAGTGACATATGTAACTGTACTCACCAGAGCAAACCACAAGCTATGCTGTGCTTACTGCAGCATCCAGCAGTTAGTTAGACAAATCATTTTATTAATCATCTTAAACATGTTTTTTAATAAATAACACAAAAGGTAAGTAATGTGTACACTTATGAGAAAGTGTTTTTAGATGTACTGAAGCATATACAGTCTGATCAATTACACCCTTTAAAATTCTGTGACTCCTGAGAAAGAGACTGAATGTAGTTCAAAAGGGAAATGCAAGTATATGTTTGACGTCAGTGGTGCTAGTAAGCAGCAGTGAATGTGCACGCTATCAGTAGGACTGTGTGATGAGACTGTGGAGGCTTGGCTCTGTAGAAGAGATGATAACTGACACTTGTGAGTCATTACAGCTTACACAGGGCTTAAAACATGAACCATCTGTTCCAGTGATTAACACCCAAGCCCATCAGGGATCCTCACATCTGAATATCTAGGCAATTCCTTATGCAATACACACTAAACAGACACTCATTAACACAAAAGTGACAGTATTAAAGGCACTGGGTGAGATCACAGATGCAGATGGGCACTGAAGTACCGCTCTCATGCATTTCAAATTGTTAAAAAGTGGCTGGATGTTACAGCATGGCTTCAAAGAGAATTTCAGAAGACGTGTTTAAAAACATCTGTCAAAACCTGCTTCATCATCCTGAAAGGATGCTCAGGGATAAAAATCATTACCTGTGTGAATATGCTGGCCAAGGATCAAATACAAAAATATAATTGTGGACTTTACTAGGCTTCAAACAAAGACATATTTTTATTTTCTAAACTTTAATATAACCAATTTAATATTTTGAAATGAATCTATATATTTGTGTTTTAATATTTCTTACAAATTTACTTACAAAGAAGTAGAAGACAATCTAGAATTTAAAAGGAGTAAAACACACAGAGGCAGTGTGTTTTGAAGAACGCTCTGGATGCCCTTGACTCCAGGCACATTCAGATATTCACACGTAGCCTCTTATCAGTGTGTCTGAGAATATTTTTTCCCCTAACTTTCCACCATGGACGTGCACACACACACATGAAGAACTACTCAAGGGTGGATATTTCTATTTTTGTGATCAATGTAAGTCCTCAAGTGCTTAGCTGCAAACCCTGGGTAGTGTAGTCATTAGGTGAAAGGTTAACTCGGCCCATTAAAGCGCTCCTGTGGGAGATCATGCCTGAGAGAGAGAGAAAGTAAATGGGTCTGACTGATCGTGCTGGCCTAATCCACCAGGACCACTGAAATGCAAAGAGCTGCTATATTAACCTTAGGATCAAAAAGGCAGAAGTAGTAATGATGTTAATTTCCAGAGAGGACAAGAAATGTTGTAGTTCACTTCTCTCCAGGATTTGAACTTTATTACAAATTAATAACAGCATACTAATGACCCTGAAAACTGAATGAGCAAATGGTCCAGCTTGTTTTGTCTAGTTCCCCTGAGTTGTGGTTTGATACTGTTATTACCCTGGGGAGGGTAAAGTGAGCCACACCCCTCCTCTGTCACAAACAGTGTCCCCAGCTGCTACTTTTCACCTTCCAGTGAGAAGCAGCTCCAGGAAGGCAATAACTGGTTATTTATACTCATTATGTATTCAGCTAGTAGCGATCATCAGGTTGGCAGTAACCCAACTAGAACTGAAACTGTAACACACAACCAATGAGCATGCGGTGGGAACTGAACTTAAGCCTTATCGAGGCGCTGCAGTAATCATGACTGTTAACAACTCCAAATCTGATGAATCATGTGAGCTGCGTCGTGTCTCGGCATGACCTAGACACACTGTACATATATCTGGATGAGAAGACAGGTCTGAACAGAGCTTAATTCATGAGAGCTGTGAGCGTCTTTGGCAGGGAAACAACTTGAACAGCACGTAGAAGGAAGAGGAGGTACACTAGCAGGCCTGATGTGACAGCATGCTGGACTTAATATCTACCAAGCTTTGATTAAGGGAGCTTAACGAGGTTTAGCAAGTGCTAAAAAGCACAGAGATAACGCTGTGTGGCTGTGGACGAGCACACGTGCACTCCCATCAAACTCAATATACAAAGGTGAATTGATCAAGTTGTGTAGACAGGCCACTCACTCACAGAAGCAACTGAACTACAAAGGACTACATAAAACAAAGCGATATCTTTCATTGATTTCTTACTAAGGTTACCAGAGACTAACATTTCCAAATCGCAACTAAGCCAACTAAGTGTAACACGTGACTGCCCACCTCATCTGCGGTTCAGGTGAGGTGGGCAGTCTGCTCTTTTAGCTGTCCTTTCAGGTCGCTAAACTGGGGGGCATCCCGTGAGATGTAAAAAAAAATCTCTGCAACCACTGATCAACAACAATGGCCTTTATTAATATTTCAAGACAAGCCTGCGTTAGGCCGTTTAGATGTGTATGAAAGGAGGGAAGAAGCCGGTATGACTGACAAGCTTATCCACTACATCTCAACTTAACATCAGTCATTAATGCCTGAAAATTGATTTCCCACACCATTCACACTGTCTGCATCTAGGTGTAACAGCACAACACGTTTATTATCGACATAAATGTTTGCATCCAATGCAGATTGATCAACAGTGGACCGCAACTGCGCCGATACAAAAATGTAACTTTCCTTAGTTAGTCTCTCTAGCCGTCAGCCAATCTAACGCCCAGCTCACCTGTATTCGTTGTAATGTAGAAATTCGTTTGTGAGTATCTTCATTCATAATATAAACGCAGACTACCGACATTGCCTGTGTCGAGCTAATTCCAGCGCAGTGTTGACAGTGCGGATATCCTAAGCCCGTCGTATTAACTTAGCGTTAACGGTGTAATCCCGCGCTGACTGCCACTTCTAGCTGACATGCTTTGTGAAAACACAGCGGCAGCGAACAGTCCTCTCTCCCGGCTCCCGTGTTTACCTGCGGGGCTAGGCGCTAGCTGCTCCAAGCTAACTAGCTATGTCAGCCACAAACTACTGTACCAACACGCGCGAGACTTTTTCGCGGGAGATAACTTACCTCTGCAAACATCGTCTAAAAGGCTGTAAGTTGCGGCGGCTCTGGCTAACCCCACCACATTGTAACATGCGAAGAGGAGGTGATTTTCTTGGTTAAAATCGGTCGTATTTCCAATCTCCGTACTGTCTTCGGAGCGTCGCCATGTTTGCAAGGTTTACGTCGTGGGTGCCCCGTTTCTGGACGTGGTCACGCCATTGGCTGGGAGGCGATGACGCCACATGCAGCGATAATTACGATTGGCTGACCTAAATAAATTATTAGTTCACAAATTTCTGACAGACTGTACCCAAACTGTAAGTCATTTTCAGCCAATGTTTTTTTTTTTTATCTCTTGTTATCTCGCACCAGGCCTTATGAAATAGAGAAAATAATAAACCATCAAGTTAACAACAGCATTAACAGTTTCCAGTAAATGCAATTACAGCAAGTCGTTGAAGCCTAAAGCATCACCAGACCATCACACTACCAGCCCTATGATTGACTGCTGACTGTTTTATGTTCTTATTATGAAATGCGGTGTTAGTTTTACACCAGATGAAACCAAATCTAAACCTTCCAACAAGTTCAGCTCTTTTTCTTGTAATGCCACAGAATATTTTCCCAAAAGTCATGAAGATGATTTTTGCTAATCAAGTCAAGCCTTTGACTTCTTTTTGGTCAGCAGTGGTTTTCTCTTTGGATCTCTCCCATGGTTGCCATTTTTTCCCACGCTCTTTCTTATTGTTGAATCATAAACTCTTTAGATGTTTTTCTGGGTTCTTTGTGATCTGGATGAGTCATCGATGCACTCTTGGGGTAATTTTGGTAGGTTGACCACTCCTGGGAAGGTTCACTACTGTTCCAAGTTTTTACCATTTTTAAATAATGGCTCTCGTCGTGGTTCACTGGAGTCTCAAAGCTTTAAAAACGGCTTTGTAAACCTTTCTAGACTGAGGGACGTCAATGAATTTGTTTCTCACCTGCTTCTTAAGATTGTGGCAGTAAGTGCTGTATTTCTAAATCTTTTAGCCTACTCCACTTTGACTTGCTCTATTTAAGTGATTTCTTGACCCAACAGGTCTGGCAGTAATCAAGCCTGGATGTTGCTACTTAAACTGAACTCAGCTTTCCAGAAAATCTAGTTTATCACAGTCAGTTCATGGCTTAGATAGCTTTTCCCTTAATAAATAGAATCTTGGTTGAAAAACTGCATTTTGTTTGGTTTACTAAGATTATTTTTTATCAGTATAAACATTTGTTTAATAACGTGAAAAATGTAAGTGTGAAAAATGTGCAAAAAACAGGAAAACATCAGGAAGCTGGCAAATACTGTTTCTTGGCACTGCATTAGTTCATTTACTGCAAAAGATTCTGTACAGAGGTCATAGCTTGCACCACCCAGTAAAACACAAAGCAGTTAACAATGGCTCCACCTACATAAACAGACCTCTTTCACTACATGAAAATGGTAGGTAAACAGAGGTGCCACTAATAATGTTAATTAAGGCTTTGCACCTGAAACAGCCAAACCTTCCTTAATGTTATTTGTAACAAGTTTTACATAATATTTCATGTCAAAATAGCTACAATTTTAAAGAAACGTCAATAATTAAATGCTAGCATGACTTTCTTTCACTCAGTGGTATTTAGTAGTTTTGATTTGATTCTCCAGTGCTCTAATAAATAGAAGAATTTTTTACTGCAGTATGTGAAGCCTAATAAATGTATGGTTTAATAATATGCCTGGCAGTCAACCTCATCAAACACATGATAACAAAGAAAGATCAGTGTGCAGTTTGATCACGTGTTTGGCAGTGGCTACCTGCAAACATGGTACCAATGCATAATTCATTGCCCAACTGCGATCTTCATTAACCTGTGCTCTACCTTACATTGCCTGGCAAAGAGAGGACATTGGAGGAGGTTGTACAAAGGGGCAGAGACAAAGGATCTCAGAGTGAATAAAAAAGATGGATGCAACAGAGATCTATGTGTTGTTCTAGGTCACAGTACCTGTCTCCGAAGTGACAGCCACATCTGAGTCACACAGCAGGTAAGGGTGAAAGAAGACAAAACAGGTGCCTGCAGGTCCACGAGAGCAGAGAGCACACGTTGGACTATCCATTCTTTAATACACAGCAACACATAAGAGAGAGCTCCTTAAGCCTTTCATGTTTCTTATGTCTCTAAATCCCTTTACTGTTTCTTGTTACTGTCAGCTGATTGCTCGCTCTCAGTCTCACACGGGCACAGTGAAAGTTAATAACAGTAGACTTTATACCCTTGGTTTATGAGTTACACCGCTGTTGTAATCAAAACAGGTAATGAACTAAATGGTGCCTTTGCAAGGTGTAGATACACCTAGGTTAATATTAGGCTATTTATCGTATGCAGTAAGAAGAACAACAATCACTTGTTGATCAACCTGTTTGGGAGGTATGCTCATGTTTGTATCATAGGGCTTGGCTTTTTAAAAATAATAATAATAATAAGGCCAATACAAAAAGTAACTTTGTTTCATGATTTTGCATCAAACACATGAAATGCACTTGCTCAAAAAACATAAAAACCGAGGCATCTTCAGAAACTACAGCATGTGCAGCGTCTAATTGACGTTGTTGCATCTTTACCACTAGATGTCACCGTCAACCCAAGTGAAACTCCAATGGGGGAAACTCCCGTGTCAAATAAATCATCCTGTACACCAGGGGTGTGCCGTGACTTCTACACGAAGGCAAACCGTGAGGACCCCCACCTCCAATATAAACAAGCAGACAAGCAAACAAACTTTCCTTCAATCTTCCACTCTGGACCTCATTAAAACATACAATTCTGACAGCCTCTTGCTGCCCATTTTCTGGATGTCTACTCCTTTCTGTACTTCTGAGGAAGAATTGCTTATGTACTTATGTGTTTATAATCTAAAAATCTACTATTAGTTGACAATGATGAGTGGTGAAATTTAAAAAACAAACTAACAAGAACAAGAACAACATTTACTTTAGCAAAAGTGTCAATAAAGCATAAAGAAAACACCTCACTATGCATAAATATGTATTATTGGCAAATTTTACATAAAGTATCAAAAGTAAAAGTATTTATTCTACAGAATCAGAACATCAGTGTTATATGGATAATTTCTATTACTGCTGTAGACACCTTTTATTCTGTTTATTCCACAGTAGTACATCACATGTTTGTAATGTAGCTGTCCCAAACCATGTAGCTGTAATGTGAGAGTCACATGTTTCTAAAAAACAAACAAACCCATAAACAAATACAGCTTTTAACTGGGTCAGAAACACAGAAATATCTTTGAGAAGTATATTAAAAATATTTAATATAGACTGTGTGATGTTGTTAACTGTTTATATCAACAGCAGGCTTCAAATATTTTTGGAAAATTAAGTTGGCGTATAACTAGCTGTATCAAAACAGCGTTGTACATTTGGGAAATTGAGTAATTTCTCTGGTAATTTGAAATTGTTTGTGGAGCCTGCATCTCTTTAACTTCTTGTTTTTTTTTAACTCGACATGTTAGGAGCTCATCTCTCTGTCATTAAAGGTTTCATTACTAACAGGCTAAACAAGCTTTTAAAAGTCACAAATGTTGGCCAAGGTGGTTATTAAGAGAATAGTTATCTGTTAAAATGATAAATGTGAGTGCTCATTTTCTTGCTAATGCTTCTTCTGTTTCCACACAAAGCAGATGGTAACTGATCTCAGAGACGTGGAAGCAGTCAACAGCACCTTGTCTAGCATGTTAATCTACCATCAGTTTCCCATCAAAGACCAGAGGTTTATTCACAATATGCATTTACAAAAAATAGAAGAAGCTGCTGCCTTTTAGCTTGACAAACACCAGCCACTTACTTTGAGACCACTTACCCACACTGATTTTAGTCACTCTATATGCAAGAGGAGTTAATCCTGCTTCCAGAGACAACAGCCAACTCCAGCCAAAAGATGGGAGTAATGTAAAGGATGCATGGGAACAGGCATGGCAGAAGACTGAGAGAAAAGGAGAGCAGTCACTTTACTTTGGTATGTTTAGTTGGTGTCTGTTTATAAGTGTCAGGCAAGCACTGCTTTCCTTGCTTGCCCCAATGGAATACCTCTGCCGTACACATGAGTTACCTACACAAATCATTTCATTCACATTGTAAAATTAGAACAACAAATGAAAACTGCAGGAAAAAAATCACCTGCTGATCGTTTGTAGAAAACAACATTGACGCATTTAATAAAATGGTAATCAATCCCATAAATAGATACCATGAAAAGGTAGTTATTGTCATTAACAGTCAACATACTTCTTCCTAGTTATTCTCTTTCCTTTTAAATCTCCTCTGCATTTGAACAAAAGCATTTGACTCACTGAATTCAGGCATATCATGGACTAGTGAGTTCTAGTATATGATTACACTGAATCACAGTGATCATCTTTTACTGTATATGTTCATGATCGCCCATTCAAGAGGTCTGGCTGAAACAACACTTCAGCACACTAGCAGATGTGACGTTGCTTTTGGCATGTGGCACTGTTTGCAAGGGTAGCATCAGGTGTAATATACCTTAATATTTTCATTATGTCCTCCTCCCTCCAGTGGTTTTGTTCAATCTTTTCTAGACAGGCGAGAAACTGTGTTAGTTTGCAACAGAAATATTAGTCAGTCAAGGTATTATTCATAGTTTTTATTATTCAAATTAATCTTCTTTTCTAATTATTATTATTGCATTAATGATAATGCAGCATTTAGTGATTCAAAGATGTTCTAACACCACCCCACTACCTGGGGCTGTTGCCCTGACAGATGGCTGTGCCACTGCTCTATCTGTAAATGGAAGCTGTAAACCAGCAAGGGGGAAAGCAAACAGATGACAGCTATCCTCACCAGCACTGTTCTGAGGTACTTTGATGTAGAAAAAAGAATTGGCTGTAGGTCAGATTTGTCTGAATAAACTAGAATATAAGCAAGCAACTGGCACCTGCAAGCATGTTTCTGTAACAGGAT